TTACAATTTATACAACTAATTTTATGTCTTATCACATTCATCTCTATGATGGTCTCCTCCACACACATAGCAAATAATAGCATTTGGACAATTTTGTAGTGAGTGATATAATAACCCTGACATTTGTAGCACCTAGGTATATCTAGATATTCATACACACTGTAGCGTTCCCACCCGATACTAATTTTTCTTTCTGACATTTTATTAAAAAGTACTAGATCGCATTCAAGAAATATAGTTCTGGCATCAAACCTCGATTTTTTTACGAATACAACTTTAATTCCGTGTTTTAAATTGTTCTGTTCCATTATACCCCTTTCAATTTCTTCATTATTCATATCTTGTTTAAAATGTATTACCTTAATCCTAGGCTGTCTCATTTTACTCAATTCAGCGGTCTAGTTGTTTTTCATCTTGGAATCTATATCTTCTTTTAGTACTTCTAACCTATTGCTTGTTTCGACACTTTATCATTAATGAACCCGAATACTGTGCGCCCCTTCCTTCAATTCATCCAATTTGATGTTATTTTTTTAATATCATCTTTGGTTTTTTGTTGATTTTGTCATTTTTTAGGTTTAATAATAATATTAGGGAATGATTCAGGATCTGTCTTATTCTTAATTACTTCTGCAAATGAAGGAATATTCCTTTGAATTATTTCTAAGTTACTTATTTTATCTTGAAGTAGCTGGATTATCAGTCTTTGATCAGCAATTATCTTTTCCTTATCACTTATAGTGTTTTTCAAGATTTCTACGGGTTCAGAATTTTTACATTTTTTACAGATACATTTTAGAATTCGCTTCTGTAATGGTATACATCTTAATTCAGATGAACTAAGTTCGCTACATTCGACACACACTGAATTCTTACATGAATCACATGAAAAACAAGCGTTTTTATTTTCTTTTGTTGGCTGTTGAATTCGGTTGCATAAAAAACATTCCATTTTAATTTGTATAAAACATTATTAATTAGAATCCCTTTCTAACAGCACTCCACTGGTTCTAAAATAATTTTTAATATTTCATAGGGGTAATTTTGGGATGAGGATTTCCAAAGAATTTATCATATTTTTCAGATCTTGAACAGACAAGTTTTCGAAACTTAAAACTGATTGTCTCATTAATATTTTTGATTTTGTTAATACTCATATTATTTGATTAGATAATTCATTTAACATTACAGCTTCATATGGCAGGTAGTTGGGCTTTCAACTTTGGATTTTGCGACCAGGGAAAAGCAATTTTTTTTATATGCATATACAAAAAATTAAAAAACTACCATCTATAGTTGTTTATTTATTTTAAATTCATTTTATCATAATAACCCCTATTTTTATTTTTAAAAACTAAACTAATGAAAACCATTATTGCAATGTAATATTTTTTGTACCCAATATTTATCTTTATCATTCTATGAAAGTGTTTAGAAATGAAATCGCAATGGTTTTAATTTCGACAAAACATTTTTACAACTTCCACAGCCAGATTTTCCGGTTTAACATTTTTTTGATGAAATTATTTTGTAGTCGTAAGAAAAATAATGGTGTAATGCGAGCCATTTTCGACCAGTCAGGTCATGCTCGAATCCCTTAGACTCCTCTCTGCTATTTAGATCTTTTTACGGCCTTAACTTTTACCATTACCAAGAATATTTAATATAGTACGTCACCTCCGAAATCCCTTTTTGATACATCTATGCCGGACGTAGATAGACAGTTGGTCTGTAAAGATTGTGAAGCGAACAATGTAGAAGTATGCTGGAAATGTTGCCAAATCTCATCTAGAACATTCAAGAATGTCTGGATTTCTTATAGAGCAGTGTAGTGCGCAGCATTTTTATATAAACAGCCGACTTTTGCCATTTAAGTTTAAGATAAGATATTCAATTTGTAAAGATAAATATTGTTAAATAAATTGAAATATAGGGTTTAATCTAAATCTTTGTAGTTTTGAGTCCAAATAAATTTTGTTATAAAATAAACTTTTTAGTATAAATAAAGTAAAATAATAAACTTTTTAAAATAAATAAATGTTACAATGGACATCACTCGCAATGTACCATTTATTGTCAGTCTAAATTCATATGATCCTTCTATTATATTCAAGTTGATAATCTTTTTAATGTTCCCAATGTATTCGAACCGAATTCAAAACGAAAAGCATATAACTTCAAGCGTGCCAATTATCCGTTACTATATGAAGCTCTCATGAATATTAACTGGGATTATTTATTGATATACAAAGAAAACGATGCTTTACATCAGTTTTATATTACCTTGTACTCAATTTTTGACCAATTTTTTCATACTTACAAGAATTACAAGCGTAAATTCCCTCCATGATTCGATTCCGTCATTATTAGAAATATTAAGAATGAAGAAAAATATCTTAAAAAATATAAAAGAACAAATGATGGACGTTTCTTAGCACATGTTAAACTAATCCGATCGCAAGTCAAACAGCAAATAAAGTATGCTCATCAATCTTACATTAATAAAGTGCAGGGTAGTATAACAACTGATTCTCGCTTGTTCTGGTCATATATTAATTCAAAAAATAGTTCACGTATTCCAGGCACTATGGTACTTGAAGACGAATCATTTACGAATCCTCAAGATATAGTTGATAAGTTTAGTCAATTCTTTGAAAGTGTTTTTGTAACATCATCTGAGCCACAGCAGGACAGGGCTAGTTTATTTGAATCACAATTCTACGGTCATATCATTAAAATTGGCAATATGTATTACCGATTTGGACATCGTACAAGGCAGTAAAAAATTAAGCAATAAAATGACCTCTGGCTCTGATGACATCCCCTCATTTTTTGTTAAAGACTGCATTTATGTCTAGCCTCTTCATTAAACATAATATTTAATTTAGCATTAAAATCAGAGAGCTTCCCAGAGCGGTGGAATGAGGCAAGAATTATTCCTGGTTTTAAATCAGGTGATAAGACACAAATCAAAAACTATCGGCCTGTATCTATTCTGTCAAATCCATCGAAAATCTTTGAGATTGTCATTTATAATCACATATATTCTTCAGTCCGCAACCTAATATCGCCTTCGCAGCATGGTTTTTTAAACAAAAAGTCTACATAATTTACTTGTAATAACTCCGCACTTATCTGAAGCGGTTGATGCAGGTAGGCAAGTGGACGTTATTTACACTGATTTCTCAAATGCTTTTGACAGAATGGATCATGGGATATTGATTGATAAATTGAATCAAGTTGGCTTTTCTCAGACCTTAATAAGGTTCTGTATGTCATACCTTCTGGAAAGGCAGCAGTTTGTCTTTCAAAACGGTCATTCGTCACAGGTGTACTTTGCAAAATCAGGCATCCCTCAAGATTCTAACCTTGGACCATTGCTATTTTTGTTATTTATTAATGATCTCGATCACCGTTTAAACTCTTGTAGTCTCATTTATGCAGATGACTTTAAGATATTGTGACGATAGTCTAATTTATTTATAGTTTATTTATTTAAAACACACTATTTACAATTTATTTATGACGTACTATTTAATTTATATAATACTTAGACACTGACTAACAATTCTAATTTATTTATTACAATTTAACTTTTCATTCCAATACTCTTTACTAAACTAAACTGCCCGACGATGAGTCGTGCTATTTATATTAAGTCTAACTCTGCTACTAGTCTCCAGACGGTCCCGAAAATTCCATCTCTGACTCAACGGCACACTCTGCCCGTTCTACCCGTTTCTCGAGCCTCAGCGGCATTTCCAGCACATTCCGTCGCCTCGAGCATGAGTCGGGGCCAGCTGAAGGTCGCGCTTGCTTTAGACACAGGGTCGGATTAGGAATTTCATGACAATATACCTCTCAGTATTACATATGTATGACTGTTTAGCGCTTCAGCAGGACTTAGATATATTGTCAGATTGGTGCATGCAAAATAGGTTAATGTTAAATGCATCGAAGTGTAAAGTGATGGCATACACTAGAAAAAGATCAACTATAGATTATTATTATAATATTAATGGTTTGATATTGTCACGTTGTTTCTCAATCACTGATCTGGGTGTCACTTTCGACTCAAGGCTGAGTTTTGTTGAGCACATTATTATGAAGGTTTCTGACGATTTTTAAGCCTTTTATTCAAAAAAATATGTTATAAAGAGAATATCTAAAGACAATGCCCCCCCCCCCTCAAAATTCGTCTTGGAGCCGCCCTTGGGCACACTGCTAACATATTTATAAAGTGAAGCAAAACATGACCCAAGACAACATAGGTACTCTTTGTATCTTAGTTCAGAACCTGATTTATTTTCTAAGGTATTAATAATTTTTGAAAGATCTTTTATTTCGAACAACTAATTCAGAAAATGTGGAATTTATTACAGTTTCACTATGCCAGTCAATAGTAACGGGAATAATTAACGATACTATTTTCAAAATACAAAATAAAATTCTCTGAAATATTGTCAAGTGACCTTCAAACTCAAAGTGAATACTTTTTGGAAAAGAGGAATTTGTTTGTGTATCAGTTAGTGATTTAATATTTTTACACACATTTCTTGCATGCTTGGAACACATCTATTTTGTTATAGTAAATTCCCCTTTTTTTCGATTTAAATAAATTAATTGCATCATTTCTCAATCTACTATTTTTTTTTAATTTTTGACTTTTAAGTAGATCAAATAAAAGTTCAGTTAAAAGATAGTCACAAAAGGAACATTTTGAAAATTCATACACCGAAACAATTAAAAAACGTCTACTTGCAATGTATTTTTCCTTGTGGATTACCTTATATCCCATGAGGTTAATTTAAAGTTTACTTTGGTAAATAAATTGGCTATAGAACAACTATATAAGAATTTGTTTGCTCCTTAGCTGTTTTTGTTAAAAAATAATCTGCTATTAAAACCATGCAGATGATATCCCTAACACCTTGTATATTTAAAAATTAAATTTAATAGCCATTTTTCCATAATTTAATCTTGATTTTCTTGTTTTCCAGGCTTTTGGTTTTATGTCAAGGGTAGCTCTCCTTTCTGAGAAAATGGATCACCATCCTGAATGGTTTAACGTATATAACAAAGTTCAAATAACTCTTTCTTCTCATGATGTCAGTGGACTCAGCGGAAGAGATGTTAAACTGGCAAATTTTATGGAAGAAGTTGTTAAAAGTATTAAGGCTTAAAAGGACACTCAAAAAACTCGAATGTATATTATGTATTCCAAAATATATGTATGTAGGGTAAATTATGGTTTTAGAACTTTTTAAATTTATTTCTATAAATTAAACTAATACAATTTACAATTTTATTCATGTTCAAAAATAAGTCTAAAGTTGGGACATTATACAATACAGGGTATAACTTAAATGATTTTTTTTAAACACTTGATTCGTTTGTTAAGTTTTAAAGAGTTCAACAATAATTTTCCTCAAGTTTATAGTTAGTTTATTGGAATTTTTTTATGGATGTTTACAATTTTTTTATTAAATTGCATATTAAAAAACGAATTTTTATTTGGTCTTGAATTTTTGTTAAATCTATAAATTAATATTAAATGAATCTCAAACTGCAAAATATTTACAAAAACACATTTTTTATGATTGCTATCCAAAGTTACATTGTTCTCTTTTATACTTACGTTAAAAGCTATTAATTTCTCATATTGAGAAATAGCCACGAGGAATTATTTCTATGGGCTCCCGCTGGTTAACATTCAAAGTAAACTTGATGTTGCCGACCTCCACGCTATCTCGGAACCCTAGGAAGGCGGACAGGGCAACCTATGCACACCTTCTCCAAGAGGCTCTGAGAGAGATGGAGGCCGAAACACCAAACAATACTGCTTTGGAAAAGTACACGAACACTATCCAAAGCACAATAAACAATACCTATAAGAAATCCTGTCCTCTGAGGCTGGTCCAACAGGATCAGACGACTACCGCATGGTGGTGTCACGAGTTGGATCACCTCAGGAAGATGGATAGGAAATCTTTTAATAAGGCAAGAACCACAAAACTCAAAGAGGACTGGGATACTTACAAATCTCACCTCAGAGAATACAGAAAAATCATCAGACAAAAACAGAGATGCATGGAGATCCTTCTGCGAAGAAATCGAAGATTTCCCGCAGGCAGCGAGGCTTCAAAAAGCTCTCTCAAAAGATCCACACCGAAGCATTGGTGCGCTAATCAAAGAAAACTGCCAACCTCGAAGATAGCATCAAACTTCTGCTGTCAACACAATTCCCTGACTCGGTCATCGCAGACGTGACGGACTGGGCAGAGGAAGAATACAATTCATCTGTCTATGATTGGCAAACTGCCAAACACATTGTAGACGATGAAAAAATTAGATGGGCAATATCCAGCTTCTCTCCATTTAAATGGGGCTGTCAGAATCCGCACTCTGCAGAGGGTGCGAACAAGAAGATGAGACCATCGAGCATATCCTTTACGATTGCCAGACGCTCTCATTTATTAGAAGTAACCCGCACCCTCCACACGTTACAGATACAGAATCCTAAAAAGACAGAAATGGTCCTTTTCACAAGTAAAAGGTTGAAAATGGAATTAAAACCTCTAGAGCTCCTAAACACAAAACTAAACTTTGCAACAGATGTGAAGTACCTAGGTCTCACCTTTGACAGCAAGTTAACATTGAACTCGCATTTAGAAAACAGAGTTAAAAGAGCATACATTGCTTATGAACAATGCCGCCGAACCGTGGGGCGCACCTGGGGTTTCTCCCCCAGAGTCGTCGCATGGACTTACACGGCTATTATAAGACCTATGCTAACATACGGTGCAGTTGTCTGGGTACCGAAAACCCAAAAATTAACAGCTATCCGTAAACTAGAACAAATTCAAAGAACAGCATGTCTCAACATAACAGGAGCCATGAAAACAACACCGACTAGAGCCATGGAAGTCATTCTTAGTCTCACTCCCCTTGATATTTACATCAAGAAGGTTGCTCTGACGACAGTGACACGCCTCCGCACGTTCGGAATAGAACCTGGTGTAGGATCCGGTGAGGCGAGACGTCACTTTTGGCAGGAGGCGCTGGATACGCTCTCACTGCTTCAAGCGAACATGGACTCCATATCACCGAAATATATCTTTCATGCCATATAAAGTTATAATAGAACAAATAGAAGAGCCGGAAGTGGCAGGCACGATTCATATCTACACCGACGGTTGTAAAACAGAACGAGGCTCAGGATGTGGAATATACTCCAGATTCTTAAACCTAAACATAAAATGGGCTGTGAGCAATAGTGCCTGTGTAGTTCAAACAGAGCTAACGGGTATTCGCATAGCAGAAAAAGAAATAACCAGAAACAATATCACTGGAAGGAACATGCTCATCTATACAGATAGCAGACAAGCGTTACTCACCCTGAACAGACCACGAATTTACTCAGGGTTAGTACTAGAATGTCACGAAGCTTTGGCCAAAGTATCCATCAACAACGTGGTCACTTTAAGATGGATTAAAGGTCACGCCACATCAAAAGGTAAAACCGTCTTGCTGATTCACTAGCCAAGAAAGCAGCCAACCAAATACTTTTTGGACCTGGCCCTTCTATTGGCCTGACAAAATCGGTAGTTACAGACCTAATTAAAGAACATTTTCTTGTAAAATTCAAGGAAAGATGGGATGAAACAAGAAACTGCAGAGTTGCCAGGGAGCTCTTAAGTTATCCTGACAACACTGCAGCAAACACATAGTTGACTATGACTAGACAGAATCTGCGCCTAGTCACAGGCATTTTTACTGGTCATTGCCAAGTACGAAAGCATCTCCATATCATGGGGCTGTTAGAATCAGCACTCTGCAGAGGGTTCGAACAAGAAGATGAGATCATCGAGCATATCCTTTACGATTGCTCGACGCTCTCATTTATTAGAAGATTTGTGTTCGACGAGTATCGGCTAACACCGGCCGATATAAGAGAAGCACCTGTTTGCGACGTTGTCAACTACATTAAATCTGTAGGCTGGCTCACGAACTAGAAGGTGCCTATCTTCTCAGGAGGATGCACAATGGACCTAAGTGCCGTGGGGGGGGGGATAACCCTCTCTCCACACGTTACAGATGGGCTCCCGTCTTAAATAAACTTCAAAATATCTAGGTACTTAGATAATAAATATGACTGTTATATGGTTAAAAACTGTCAAATTTAATAACTTTATAATTTTATATGTGTTCATATTTTAGATAAAAACATTTGTATGGAAAAAATAATTATTTTCAACAAATTATCAACTATGGTTGATGAAAACAAAAATAGTAGCTATTCCAAACTTTTCTATGTTCCAAACTATGACATTCTTACTAGTTTGTTCAAAAAATTCAGACGATTAAACAACCATTATAAAACAAGTAACGGCTCTGTAGTGCAGTGAGTAGATGATCATACAGTTCATAAGTTAATATAGATCTTGTCGTTCGATACTCTGCCGTGATGACTTGTTTTCTTAATTTTTTATACCATGATTTAATTTATAATATTATTAATAAGGATTAAAAACACATAAATAAACAAAATAAAAAAATGTTCGTTAAAAAAATACGAAGGTTGAGTCAAATATAAACAGGCCTTTTTTTTATTAATGCAAAATATAAATACAAATCAATTTTAAAATTTTTCTACAGTCTTCTTGAAGATCTATACATTTTTTTCCAACGCTTAGGAAGCTTCTCGATTCTTTCCTCATAAAAAGTTTGGGTTGTGCACTAACCACACTACATCATTGTCATTTTTAAAATGGTGTCCACTATACTTCTTTTAGAGGCCCAAACAAATGATAGTTGCCTAGAATGCCTAGGCTATAGGGGGGATGTTCCAAGATTTCCCAGTGGAATTCAGCCAATTTTTGTTTAGTCAAAAGGGCTGTGAGAGGACAAGCATTATGGAGGAGCAAAATTACGTCGGATGGGAGTATATATAGGTACTGCATTTTTTGGATCTATATGCAGCTTTCGCGGCGTCTAAAAACTGGCAGCGCTACATTCATGAAGAAAATCACCGAGCAATATACATCTCCAGTGCCAAAAAATTATTGTAATGACTTTTACAGCAGACAGTTTTATTTTGCCTTTTACAGAGCAATGTTCCCCACTCACATACTGACTCTTTTGCATAGGGAGAATAATGATGTGCCCACGACTTATTATTATGAACCATGCCGACCACTATTTAAGCAATTTAGCATAATGACCCTGTTTTCGCAAATATTTGAAAACTTGCTAGCCATAAAAAATAATTTGGGAAACTTCACATGTCACTCAGACAATTATAGGTCTGTTCTGGTTTTGAGAAATAACGATCCACAACTGTCGGGCTCATGCGCAGTAGATAAAAAGTGTTCTGGTTTTTCTGGGACTACTTCGGATCTCTCAGTCCAGTGTTCTGGTTTCGTATCCGAAATAATCCGTGATTGTTGTAAACAGTCAAAAAGTGTTCATGCTTGGGAGTGTGGATCGACTCGGACTGTTTTGACCGCGCATGCGTTTTTGAAGTGTTATGAATATTGTATTGGCTTTTTAGACTATACGAAACGTATACAATCCCAAATTGTTTATTTATATGTGGACGAATGTCTCTTGTTCTATTTGTAAATTAAAGCAATTTTAGAATTATTAATTTTTTAATATTATTCTGTTTTTATTTATTCCATTGAAATGTGATGATAATGGTAAACATATACATGCAAATGTTATTTGAAGCTGAGCTTTCAAAAGGAACTTCATTATTATAATAAACAATAAACAAAACACCTTTATGACGTGTTCTGGTTTTCCAACAATTTCAAACAGTCGGGGATTTTTTGCCTTTACGCATACGGTCCGGCGCAGTTTCAAAACAGTTTTCATTTTGAGAACCAGAACAAACCTTATACATACGATACCAGATGGAAAAATCAGCTAATCCAAACGTTATAGAATAAATAAGTCCCGAACAATAGACATTTCATTCTATAATGCACTTCCGCCCCACATCCGTAATCTACCAGGAAAAAAGTATAAATATCAAATTAAAAATCTGATGTGTCCAACACATGACTTTCCTATTTAGTTATTATAGGCTTTTTCCGGTTATTTTGTACAACCTATTGCAGCACCTCTATAAATATTTAGAGGATAAACTAAATATATACATTTTCCCATACATCTACCTCGAAACATTTTTCTATATAGATATTCATTGAAAACGAAAATACTGAAACATTTAAATTTAGCACTCTTCCTTCAATTTTTCCATTACGGTACATTTTAGAAAAATCATAAACAAAAATTATAGAGATCGATATCGCAAACTACTTTTAGTTCAACAATTTTCATAAAAATCA